GGTGAGACTGCCATTCTTTCAAGTGTTGGGGGATATGGTAGTTCCATCGGCAGTGGTGGAGGCAGTGGTGGAAGGATTCATTTTCATTGGTCGGATATTCCCACTGGAGATGTGTATCAGCCCATTGCAAGTGTGGACGGAAGCATCCTTGCAGGGTTTGTGTAGTCTAATTTGCTCATATGTACTTAAGGACTATTATGATTAATTTTCCGAGAAAAAAAAGGGAAAAGCACAAATAATTTATTGGTTTATAACTATATTGCAGGGGAGGGGTGGGTGGAGACCAGGGTGGTGCTGGAGAAAATGGAACATTAACGGGTACAGATTGCCCAAAAGGTCTCTATGGGACCTTTTGTGAGGTACATATTCATTGTTTGGACATACTTTGTATTCCTATGTGCAATCGTCTAGTTATTTTCTAACTTCTAAGATCTCTCTCTCTCACTCATGAACATGCACTCATTGTAAGTCTATAAGAAAAACTTTGAATGTTAATAATTGCTTATTGAACTTTCTTTTTTTTTTACTCAGGCATGTCCAGCTGGCACTTATAAGAATGCTATTGGGTCTGATATGGCACTTTGTCATCATTGTCCTGCTACTCAGCTTCCCGCTCGTGCGATTTATATTTCTGTCCGAGGTACTTCTCTAACGTTAGTAATTTATTGCTTTATTAGGAGCCAGGCCTACTGCCTTTGAGTTTTTAGTGGTATTGCATCCTTTGATTTGTTGTTTGTTGTATTTAGTCTCCTGTACCATATTAAGTCACTTCTGGTATCTAAACATGAAACCATTTCTTGTTCTCTTATCAGGAGGTGTTGCTGAGATTCCTTGTCCTTACAAATGCATTTCAGACAGATATCACATGCCAAACTGTTTTACAGCCCTTGAAGAATTGATTTACACATTTGGTGGGCCTTGGCTATTCGGTCTTCTTCTGATTGGGCTCCTCATCCTGTTGGCTTTGGTACTCAGTGTTGCGCGTATGAAATTGGTTGGGGTTGATGAATTACCAGGCCCTGCTCCCACTCAACATGGCTCACAAATAGACCACTCTTTCCCTTTCCTAGAGTCATTGAATGAGGTTTGTTCTTGTATAATAGAACCTCTCTATCTCCCTCTATCTCCCTATATCTCTCTCTCTCTCTCTCTTCCCCCACTTTTGAGATTAATAGGTGGTATTCATATTGTAGGTTTTAGAAACAAACAGGGCTGAGGAGTCACAGAGCCATGTGCACCGGATGTACTTTATGGGTCCTAATACTTTTGGTGATCCTTGGCATTTGCCCCACACACCTCCAGAACAAATAAAAGAGATTGTGTGAGTTAACTTTTATATATCATTTATATTTTCATTTCAATATCCCACTTGGAATTTTAAGGACTTTAAAGTTATGGTGACTTTCTTCATATTAATTATCGATCTTAGTCTGCGTTATAACTTATAACTTACAACAAATCTAAAAGATCATAGTTTGAAATATAGCATTCCTTCTGGCAGATATGAGGGGCCATTCAATACATTTGTCGATGAGATTAATTCCATAGCCACTTATCAATGGTGGGAGGGAGCAATGTACATCATTCTTTCTGTTCTTGCATACCCCCTTGCATGGTCATGGCAGCAGTGGCGCCGAAGATTGAAATTGCAACATCTGCGTGAATTTGTTCGATCGGAGTATGATCATGCCTGCTTACGGTCTTGCCGTTCGCGTGCTTTATATGAAGGGATTAAGGTTTGAAATTCATTCTAAGTTCAGCACTGAGGGTCGTGAATTAAATGTATACATTGCCTGTGATTAATTCAATTCATATGATAGTAGGGTGCTTCAAACTAATTTACATGCACTATGTGGACTTGGTTTTCCATCCTGTAACCTTTTTCTGTAATACCGTCAGGTAGCTGCAACTTCTGATTTAATGCTAGCATATATGGACGTCTTTCTTGGTGGTGATGAAAAGAGAACTGATCTTCCCCCTCGTTTAAATCAAAGATTTCCTATTTCATTACCTTTTGGAGGTGATGGAAGTTACATGGCCCCTTTCTCACTTCACAGTGATAACATTCTTACAAGCCTCATGAGTCAGGTTTGTTGATTGATGCTGACGAATCCAAACCCAGCTCTGATATTTTTATGCTCTAGCTTCTCAAGAATGTTAATCTTAATGCTTTTTACTGTGCAGTCCGTCCCGCCTACCGCATGGTACCGTATGGTTGCTGGTTTGAATGCACAGTTACGCTTAGTTTGCCGTGGGCGGCTAAGAGTTACACTTCAGCCTGTCCTTCAGTGGCTAGAACATTATGCCAATCCTGCTTTGAAAATGTATGGTGTACGTGTTGATCTTGCCTGGTTTCAGGCTACATCTTGTGGTTATTGTCATTATGGGCTCGTGGTGGATGTTCTTGAAGAAGACAGTGAACCTGCCTCTGTTAGGAGCATTGATGGAGCCATACGAACCGAAGAATCACGGTAATGGCTTCTAATGTTTGTGTTTAGAAATAGTACACCTATTTAGTCCTTTTCATTTAGACCCCTTCCTTGAGTCTGACTTTGTCTTTCCCTTGACTTTCAGTGCAAACTACAATGAAGATTCATCTGGTCATTTGAGAGAATCGCTCCTAAACCAGTCTCTCAGAAGTGAAAATTTTATGAGGCCAAAAAGAGAATACGGAGGGATTATAGATGCTAACAACTTACAAACGCTTAAAGAACAGAGAGACATGTTTTATCTTCTCTCTTTTATACTTCATAATACTAAACCTGTTGGACACCAGGTATCTCTTGTGCTTATATTAATTTGTCTCAGCTGGGGACTTGGGATCTCTGATTTCTAAACATATGTTTCTATGAACTGCAGGATCTCGTTGGTTTAGTCATTTCAATGCTTCTTTTAGGAGATTTGAGCTTAGTTTTGCTTACATTACTCCAGCTGTATTCGATTTCATTGGTGGACGTCTTTCTGGTTCTATTTATTTTACCCCTTGGCATACTTCTCCCGTTTCCTGCTGGTATCAATGCTCTATTCAGTCATGGACCTAGACGTTCTGCTGGGCTTGCACGTCTATATGCTTTGTGGAACCTTACATCCTTGTTTAATGTTGTAAGTTTCTATTTTTGTCGATCTGCTTCAAGTCTTCCTTCTCCCAGTAGCATCTTTGGCTCTGTAAAGCTTGTTGACTGGTTACTTGTATACGGGTTCACTAATTTGTATCATCTGTTGGTCATGTGTTCTTTTGCCAGGCGGTTGCTTTTGGTTGCGGTTACGTTCATTATTTGACTCAATCATCAAGTAAAAAACATCCGTTTCAACCCTGGAGTAACATGTGAGGGGATCTCTCTGCCGAAAACTTCATTAGTTGAGATGGTAAGTTATATTCGACGCAATACTCAACTAACAGGTTGTGTTCGTTTGTCTGGCTGGTGGGTGCAGGGACGAAAGTGAATGGTGGATTTTTCCCGCTGGTCTGCTGCTTTGTAAAGTTTTTCAATCCCAGCTAATCAATTGGCACATTGCGAATCTGGAGATTCAAGACCGTTCGTTGTACAGCAATGATTTTGAGCTCTTCTGGCATTCGTGATGTGATCGTATTTAACAAGAAGATATTAACAAGTTGTTTCGGTTCTCTTATCGTGATACGTTTCTGTTGCGCGTTATATTTCGGCAGTTGCCAGTAGCAGTAGGCAGTAGGTGAGTGATTGACAATTTGACAGGACATAGGTTAGAAAAAATGAGAAGAAAGAGAATGCTGAAATATGAACACTCGTGAAAGTAAAAAGAAAGAAATACAAGAGAGAGAGAAGGGGGAGAGAGAGAGAGAGAGGGAGTGAGGGATTGATTTATGTAACCACTTTTGAGTTATGAATAATGGGAAGCAAGTTTATTTGTAAATAGTAATTGGTCACTCTTTCTAGGCTAATTGGTCCTCAGCCCTAACTTTTTAAGTGTAATCAGGACTGACTTGGTCCATTTTAATAATAATAGTTAGGGTTAATCTCAATTTATTACCCTAAAGTTTATTGGTTTTCAACATTTGATACATTAAGTTTTTTTTCATTCTAGAGTGGTACCTGAAGTCATAATTTTGGGACACTTTCATACATTCGTTAAGGTTGCTGTTAAATCAGTTGATAACTGGTGACGTGATGTTCACGTGGACAATGAATAGGCATCACGTGTTAATATGGATCCACATGAATATTAAAAAATTATAAAATCGACCCTTTCTCCCTTCTTGCCTTTGCATCATCACTCCCTCACTCCCATGGTCCCCCCCTCCACCTTCCCGACCCACTTCCTCCCTATCCTCCACCCTCTTCACCTCCCCTCCCTTCTCTTTCCTCATATCAATTCAATTTAAAATTAAAAAACCTCAAAGCAAAAACCCCAACCTGACGCCCAATTTATAATTCAATTTAAAATTAAAAAACCTCAAAGCAAAAACCCCAACCTGACGCCCAATTTATCACTTTGAAGGCTTGGAAGGCGGAAGGGTTGTTGGGCTTGACCGTCGGAGAAATTGATGAGCTACTGGGCAACCACGAGGACGTCGTGCGCTGCTAGAAATGCAGATCTGTAGCCATGGTTGCTCTTCCAGTTCTTGCTGCTTTAAACCTTCGACATTAGTGTCGTCTCATGGGTTCTGACGGGGGAGGTGGAGGGAGGGATCAGAGGAGTGAGGGAGTGAGGGTGCAAAGGAGAGAAGGGAGGGAGGGTCGGGGAGGTAGGAAATAACCCAAGTTTTTTTTTAATAATTTTTTTAATATTCACGTGGGCCCATATTGACACATGGTACTCATTCATTGTCCACGTGGATGCCAACAATATCTTTAACGGATGTATGAAAGTGTTCCAAAATTACTACTTCAGGTACCACTCTGGGATGAAAAAAAACTTCATTTATCAAATGTTGAAAACCCATAAACTTCAGGATAGTTAATGCTAAGTTAAAGAAGAATTATTTTGGAGTTTTACCATCTCTCTTTCTTTTCTTTTTTTAATTTTAATTTTAATTTTAATTTTTACTATTATTTGGAGATGAGAGAGTTTGAAACTATTACAATAATTTAAGCAAGAGGAGTCTTGAATCTTTTATTGAATTATCTACTTGCTATTAATTCAATTTGCTCCTTTCAATCTTTATGTTGGACAAGATACAACAAATTTAAGTTGAAAATCTGGCATAAGAGGATGAACTTCTACAAATTCGTTCGCAATATTCATCACCCAATTCAAAACATGGATTCAAGTTTTGATACTTTCTAGACCTTGATTGCATGAAACATTCACCATGAGGCGTGAACTCTAATTTCACAGTTTTCAAAATTTAAATTTGGCTTGAATTATCGTTTGCAATAGTTATCGTTACATCATATTTGTGTTGAATTGAACGTGTGAATAAGAGAAGAAAAAGAGAGATTTTCAAACCCTAGCACGCGCTGCAACTAAAAGCCGCCGAGCCACACCAAGCCGCCAGACCGGATGGGTTACCGGATTTTTAAACCCATCTTACTCTGGCGGGGCTCAGCAAACACGTATAATTTGAGGACATTAAAAGTTGTGGATCCTGTATTTCAGTTGAGGTCCTCTAACAATAGAAGAAAACAAGATAATAACACGGCTCGCGCACTTTTGCCTTGACATGAACACCCTAACATTCGTCTTTGTTACCTAACCTTCTAGACACCATATGGTTTCTGAGGTGCGGTGATGAACAAAGCAATGAAGATAGCATCAAAATTCATCACTGAATAAAACTCAAACTCAAAAGTATTGGCTTAGACTAGGTCCTGTACACGGGAGCCATCACCGGGTGCATACTGTTCTTGAATCTCTTCCCAAGTTCAGTTGCCTTTCCGCGCTCCACACGCACAAACGAGATTCAAGAACAATGTATCAGCTTGAAAAGTGATCAATGACTCTTCCTGCTTCACATAACATGTAAACCCAACCAGTCTTCCACCTTCGACCTACTGAGGTGTTCTGCACCAGTCGTGGTTAAGGATACTTTTGAACATTACTTTGAAATTCAATTCCTTGTCTCGGTGTCCACAAGCAAATGCTTGGATGGTATCTCATCTTTCAAGTCTAAAAATGCATCCTCTAACGCTTAGTAAGCAACAAACGATGGTTGAGCACATACTCCTTGAAATTACGAAAAGTTCAAGGCGAAAGGCTTCTTCCCTGATATGTCCTCAAGCTAAAACTACCTTCAAATTCCTAATAACCAACCATCATCGAAAAACAAGATCTGAGACTGATCAAAGCTAAGCGAACTCTTTCCTAAATCAACACAAGATAAAATCAGCTTGTTTTTACACCACAGAAGAAGGTGATCACTTTTTGAGAAATGTTGGAAAGCACAAGTTCATATCTTTGATGTGAAAAAAACAGATACTGAAACAAAAGCCTGAACGAGGACACTTCTAAAATCAGAAAACATAAACAAAACGTTTGAATCGATAGGTTTCATCTAATCCCTTGAGATTCTAAGAGAGAATGCAAAAACTACCTAATAGCAATAGTGCTACTCCTTGTTCAAGACTTTGGGAACTTTAATATACGGCTCCTCATAGTTTGGAACGGCAGCAATCATGGCCTCCCTGTTGAACCCCACAAAACAAGTTTCAATAGCTTTGTCAAAGAAAACAAATGTGAACCCCAAATTCGAACACATGAATATACTGAAACAACCATCGCACCTGTTCTCAAACGTTTCAGGAATATCTTCACGGAAACTATCGCCTTCAGTATCTGCAATTGCCACAAACAGAATCAAACGCAAGGCGAAAATACAGCAAGACTTTTATCCATACATCTTCTGGTTATCTAACTGATCAAAACAAAGAAAATATCGAAAACTCAACCTCCTGCCTTAGATTAATAAACTATGAGCACAGCGTTGCAGCTGAAGCAATGCGGTTTGATTACAGTCTCATTAATTTATTTTCCCACAAAAAACACAAATCGAAAACAACAATGTGAATTATGAAGCAATTACCTGCTCTGATTGAGGGCTCCACAGTTTCAAGATCAACAGCTTGAAGCTGTCCAAACCTGCAAAAAATTATGTCACTTACAAAAATGCATAAAAATACTTCCAAACTTTCAACATTTTCTATCGATTAAAAGAGAAAAAGACGAAGGTTTTTTACCAATCTATGACTTGCCCAATTTTGGGAGCAAATTCTTCTACCTGATAAGAGTGAAATTAAATTAAAATTTAAAATTTGAACAAAAAGAATGGAAATAATCAAAGCAAAGTATTAAGGGTTTGATAACTTACCTCATGAGGGGTCAGAGTAATTCGAGCAGTCTCGGCCAAGCGTGGCAAGTCCGGAGGCTCCAAAGGAAGGCCGCTGCTTTTGGGTGTCGAGCAATTTGTTCGAACCCAACTGATGTTACGAGGAGGAAGGACTTTTGGGAAAAGCAGCTTCTTGGGTAGCGAGGAACAAGATAATCCCTTCAGTAGAAGCAAAGCTCTGCTTCCCATTTTCCTTCGTAGTAGTATCCTCAAAGTCGCTGGTTTCTCTCTCGACTGGCAACTGAGCTTGGCTCATCCTATTACTGTTTGATGAAATGACAAAATAACGCTTGGGTACGCATACTTGCTCTCTCCCCCTCCTGCGCCCTCATCCTTTCATCCACCGCCGTTCAAAACATTTACAAGTTGTTTCTAATTACTATGGTTTAGAAATATTTTTATTGTCGTAAGTTCGATTTTCGTTAAAAATAAAGTTGAACCACATTATTATGGTAAGCGCATTGTAAGGCTTAGCCTAGTCTCCAACTCTCTTGGTGTAGATATTATCGTATGTTTAAAAAAAATACATTTACAAGTTGATCCAAAACACAAGATTATGCCACGTAAGGAAAAAAAAACAAATGTGTTGAATAAAAAGATAAAAAATGCTACTCTTACTATATATTTTATAATCATTTATATTACCTCTCTAATAAAGATAAGACACACATGTGCTAGTGGGCAATACTTTTATTGTACAAATGCTGATATAATAAATGCAACGTCACTCTAAAAAGATAGAGTCGATAGAAAGAAATAAAGGTGGTTGAAAAAGGAAGTGAAAAAGAACATGAAGAAAAGAGACAAGAAATTGAAAGGAAAAGAAAAAAATGTGAGTGTAGTGTGGGTATAAAATTTTCTATTCTCATTCTACCTTTATCAATCAGACCTCCTGTCTTCGGAATTCATTTCCTTGAATATCATGACTGTGATTCTTGATTTCAGATTGAACCCCAAGCACTTTTCATTCCCATTGAATAGGTAAATACTGGGTTTATGTGGAACATGAATGACTCTCATTTTCCTTATATAAACACACACCTTAATGCATCTTAATAATTTGGAGTTTAGAGTTAGCACTTTTGGATTTGAGGTGTGGATTTAGGCCATTAGGCCATCTCCAATTGGGGGTGGTGGTGGGGTGGGAAACAAAAAAATTCCTAAATTTGAGTCCAAAATTTCTCCTTGGGGTGAGAATTTAGGGATTTTGGATTTAGGGGTGAGAATTTAGGGTTGCTTCCCACCCCAAATGGATAAGGTTGTAAGTGGGCTGAGAGACCCATGTGAGACCAAGAACAGCGTGTCAGCCCACGTGAAGACAACCCCATTTAGGCTTGAGTGAGTCAGCTGATTGCGGGGAGGAATTGGTTGTGGGCGAGTGCACTAGCAACACGGTTTCTACGGCCCAGGTTGGCGTGCCGTTGCCATCTAATGGCTGTCGCACCTTTTGAGTTTTGGTCCAGTGTGGCGCGCCCAGTTACATTATTTTTAAATCCAACAACTCAAATTTAAATTCACTAATCAAAATATTATTATAATTTAATTTAAATCAGATCCGACACCAAAATTCCTCCAAAACTCTATAAATACACGTCCTTTGTTCATTAATCCATAATAAAACTTCAATTTATCAACATTTTCTTTTGTTCAGAATGTGAATTTTTTTACATCAAAATGTTCGTAAAAATAAAATAAGATAGATTATACAAAAACTAATTCCAAAATTATTAGCAAAAAGAAAAAAAAAAATCAATGAAATACAAAAGTTTAACGAGTTATAAAGTTGAGGGTGGAAATTATAAGTCCCTTACCGTTGGAGTAAACAACTGCCTAACCTCGTACATATAGATGAATAGTGAAAAATACAAAGCTCAATTTAGAATTTTCCTTAGGTTGGAGATAGCCTTAGGAGTATAAGATTTTGCATTTTTGACCTTTTGGGTATAAAATTAGACAACTTACTATTTAGGCATGAGTTCTGGGGTTTGAATTTGTAGGTTTTGGCCTTTTGGGGTTTTGAAAATACAAGTACATTGCGAATTCTCCAAAAGCCTTTACGTTGCTTTCAGTTGGGTATCACATTAGCCTAGTGAGATTAACATGGAGAACATATCTACAACATTGATACAATTAGTTACATGTAATTCGACGATTGCAATTCAACTTATGTCCGAACCTCCTCCATCAGCTGTTGTATTGCTCCTCTCTGTAACGCTGTTGTTGCAATGCTGCAGTAAGGGAGAAGCAAATAAACCCGCTTGAAGTACGCTGGAAGGTGGTGGATTGGCTGATTGAATGGAGTCCTCGGGAAATGAGGTGGGTGCTATGGTTTTCACTGGAGTGGCCTCTGCGTCACTGGTTCCAGTATGGTCGGCTCCATCTCTCGCATAACCTGCAACCAGTAATGTTCAGAGGTTGCGTGAGTGAAAATATTACATCCACGAAACTCCAACAATCTAAGGATAACAGTGCTTTTTTCACCCCCGAAAGCTGAGAAGCACACTTTTAATGCGAGTACTTTGTGTTCGACAAGAAATATGGAAGAAAGAAGTTGAATCACCTGTATGCATAATGCCGGTGTTGGGTATGCTTGTGTTCGGGGACACTGATGAGGTTCCAGCTCCTTTTTTCAATTTAGACTGCAAAACACAACCACCATAAACTTGTCACGGGTTACTCAAATTTGTTTCCTTAATTACCTCAAACTTGTATAGAAGTTGTTCTGCTTTTATGCGTACATATTCTAAATGACATTATGTTCGGGTTTCTTAACATAAAAGAACTAAGAGAAACACATTTATGGTGTCATCGGGCTCTTCTGAATGTTTTCAGACTGCTGCAGTCAAGTTTAAACCCAAAAAGAGAAAGATCTGGCTACCAGAGAAATAGATTTTTGGCGTTTGAGTTTCCATACCTTTGCATTTTCTTCACAATGCTTTACAACAAAAGAGATGTTTGTGTAACGGCCATGCAGTAATGTGTAAGCCCACAAGAGAAGCTTTCTTGGAATGCTAAGGTCGAGGATTTCAGCGCCATCCATGGTCGGCCTCAATTGTGTATCCTTTGCTAACCAAGACAGAACCAAATACAAGTTGACACCAGATGAGGGCATCACACAGGAGCTCTCACGATAAAAATTATAAGAAGATCGAAGCAGAGAGCTGGCGACCTCCAAATTCTCATCCGAAGCTTTCTTAACTATCAAATTCTTTATTTTAGAGAAAATAGGATTCCGTTTTTCTTCGAGACTTTTGAAATGGGCTGGGTCCTTGAATGCTGAACTCCATAATTCATCTATTTGTAGATCAACACAAAGCAGCTGGCTATTTTCCAGCATATCTGATGGCTTAAGGACCTGAATCTCACTGGTGATTTCAGACTCTGTGGGAGTGATCTGTGCCAAGCTCAGTATAAGAGATCGACACCAAGCAATGGAAGCATGCCTACAAACTTTTGCACAGTTACTGTTTGACAATTTTGGATTCTTAAACCTCTTCCGTATCTTCTCATTTATGGCTTCAAGAGTGTCCAGCTTGCCATTTTTCTCCAATGTTGTTATATGTTCATGGAGAAATCTGCAGAAGTACGAGGAGATCATTAGAATCTGGAAGGAGAACCATCTTGTTTAAAATAATAAGATAAATAGATAGGACCGTGAAGTTAATCACTCAAGTTTAATTAGACTTTGAGGATCGAGGCTTAGAAAGCAGTTGAGATTCAACTTACCCATATAAACTGCTTTCCGACGTCTCTGTGACTTTAATCTCAGGCAAAGCACATATTTCTGGCCATAAGTTCCCCTGCTCCATGAACAAACAAAACACTTTCTCCAGTATGTGCTCGGAATTACTTGTAGCACCAGAGCCAACAGTCTTAGCTTGACGTATGGATGAAATCAGGGCCTTAACGTACCTCCCTAGTGCAACTGGAACAAGATCTTCAATGCATAGTGAAAACTGAATTTTCGAACCAAGTCAGATCCCATTTAAATTAATAGAGAAAAAAAATACATCAGAAACAGAATAAGAACAGCTTGATGAGGCAATGTTGTTTTAGCAGTAATTATGACACTTATATTTGAACTACTAATGTACTAGAGGTTAAATTATTACCCTCTTATCAGCTCGAAGAGATATATAAGCACGTTCAAGAGTACAGATGTCTCCAGTCTTCTCCAACAGTTCCAAATAGAACAGCAGATATTTCCGAATGCAAGTAATAAATTTTCGAGAACTTTCAGGTAAGTTAACTTCAAGGGACTTTTTACTCCCAGAAACACCAGGAGTTTTCCGCCTGATAAACAGAGAAGAATATCCCATTAGTTTCATATGAATTATAATTTCAAGCTACCTAACAACATAGACAACAAACAAACTGAACTGAACTGGAAGGATTTTCCCTTAATGGTTTTGTTTTATACTATTGAAATGGGGTTTTTCCTATAACATTCGAAAAACATAACTGTTGCACAGAATTAAAGTTGTACCTTCCTTTTTTGGCCGTGCTATCAATCTCCCACATATTTATTGTAAATGATGAGCGAGATGATTTGAAGCAAAAGGAGAGATCGTCCCTTGCCCTCTCCAATGCACCACTTTCCCCCTTTCTAAACAGACCTTGAGCAAGCATATATCTGGCTTTATGAAAATGTTTAAGCTCCCCTTCAACACAAGTTTCAAGGGCAGAAAGACAGTCACTGTAAAGCATGTTCCACACCTCTAATTTGAGTAAATCTTCATTCTTCTCCCCAGTGTTTTCTTGTGTGCTTTTATCCTTAGGAGAATATGAATTTTTGGAATCCATGTTACCTAAAATTGTCATGATAGAATCCTTTCTTGATTGACTAAAGGCATATGTTGAAAGAACCTGAAAGGGCCAAAGATTAATTTCAAAACATATACAATAGTAGGATATAAAAAGTCTCCAAGTACACAAATTATTTCAATGAAATCAGTCGAGCAGACATCTCTAAGAAGAAAAAACCTTTAAAGCGTCTAGATTTTGTTCTCCGCATGCACATAGTATCTTCAAGCGTGAAGCATGCATCCTGTAGACTGGATCAACAGCTGATGGATTTAGAGCAATAGCTTTGTCATAATATGACAACGATGTCTCATAAGAGAATTTGAGCTTTTCACAGAGCTTTCCGATATAGTAAGCATGTGACCAATCTTGCCTGATACAGAATAAAGCACAGACAGATTACCATTTGATTATGGCACATGCGGTGGTTAGTTTTTGTCTGGAAAAATGAAATCATGTAGTAAAGAGGGCATACTTATGAGCAAAAGCTTTTTTAAAATGTCTCATTGAGT